AGAGATAAGAATGAAAAAAAACATGAGAATTGTTCATATTCCACTTTTTTACAATTTATTTCTTTTCTGACTGTGAAGGTCCCCCGATGGATTTGGTAGTCTACCTTGAACCAGGATGTCATATACGTGATTTTATAGGACGCATTGTGGCACATAGAACGGTATATAAGAAATCAAGTTTTATGAAAATTTTGAGATGCTAAGAATCGATACAGTGGTTATAATGCTCGGAGGATATTATAAGTTACTCATAGACGTTTTAATCTACAGAGTATTGTAAGATGAACTTCTGCAATTCTTTTTAAACTCAATTCGATATAGTTATATATACTCTTTAAATTTCTATAGTCAATGATTTTAGTCTTTGCTTGACTGCAAGCTCCCTGAAAGCTAGTACGACTATAGAGTAGCACGAAGGAATTCTATTACTTTTATTATTATTTCTTTACATTTATACTCCTAGTATTCAAGTTTAATTTTGCATGAAGCTCTACAAGAGTCTATAAATACTTCATGTTCATTTCAAAAATGAATTTTTCCGTTTATAACGGTGGTATTTACATCAATCCTCCAGAAATGTTATGCTAATTATTGATACTTAGAAATTTCTAATAGGATTTTAGAGTGTTCTTAAAATATCGCCAATATACCATCCCCTTCATATAGAAAAGAAGGTTACTCTAGGAGACAATCTTACAAGTTGACAATGAGTCTCGGCTGCTCCAAAATATGTTATATGTGAAACATATAGAACGTGACAGTTTGCAATTATTGAGAAAGTTTCGCGCTAATACCCACTTATTTTATGACACAAATTTGAACACATTGTAATATTATATAGCCAAGAAATAGCCTAGACTTAAGAAAAGGGACCTTGTTTAAGTAACGAGTAAAAGCATTAATTATAGAAAATTGAAGAGCATTTATAACTGTATCGAATTGAGCTTAAAAAGAATTGCAGAAGTTTATCTTAGAATATCCTATGGATTAAAATGTTTATGAATAACTTATAATATCCTCCAAGTATTATAACTACTGTATCAACCCTTAACACATCAAAATCTTCATAAAACTTGATTTCTTATAAACCATTCGATGCGCCGTGATTTGTCCTATAAAACCACATATATGGCATCCTGATTCAGGGTAGGTCACCAAATACATCCGGATCTTTTATGATCCGAAAAGAAATAAATTGTAAAAAAGTGGAATATGAATAATTCTCATTTTTTTTTCGTTCTTAGATCTAAACTCTATATAAATTGAAATTCAAGTATTTCGATCTAAGTACGCAATAAGCAGTACATTTTTTCAATTTGTTAGTTTGCCAGTGAGACCTTTCATTTGATTCGAATATGTTCAATTTCCTTAAGATACAGCACACACACTTCCATTGTGATATCTAAATCTCTGAAAAACAATCGCCAAATCTTATCTATTATGTTTCTTCTTTTTCAACACAATACAAAGGAGTACATAAAAGAAAACTATAAAAAGACGGCATTCTACATAACTCCATTTCCTTTCGAAAGTCAATGTCTTCCACATAAGCAATCCGACAACGTGTACTGTGCATCTCAAATCTTCGTGTCCTCTTCAGAGATACTTATGTTAAAGTTATTATACAACAACAAAACCTGTTGATTGTGATTCCCCATTTTCTTCAGTATCATCAAATGCAATAGGATACGCTGAACCAAGTGTTTCCAATTCTAGATTATGACTTGCCACCAAAAATTCGAATAATGCTTTAATTTCATGTTTTTCATGCTGTGAATAATTAAAGAGTTCATCGAACATCAGTAATGTTCGTCTCACAAATCGACTTGCCAATAGAAAAAGTACATCTCGTGCACCTTCATAAATATCACAGTCAATATGAACATATGAGACGGGTATATTCTTATGTTTCAAAAGTTCCTGTGGAAGTGAATCTATGAATAGTCCTTTGACTAATGCTACATTTGGTTCAATACGAAGTTGATCAGAATTAATGGCAAATTTACCTTTGGGAAATCCTGGTCGCCAATCGGTTGGCAAACCAGTAAATGTGTCAAATCCATAAACGAGACCACTATTATTTCCACAATAGAGTGATTTCCATCTTGTAACATGATTCAAGCTTCGACCATCAAATACTCCAAATTCCATCCAAAGACCATCGCAATAGGGAAGAACCATATCTGGATAGGGTGGAAAATGAAAGACTGTTGTTAGAAATCTTCCTGGCGGTTGATGTATGATTTTTCGTGACATAACCTTCTGTTTCACATAAGTAATAAATTGGCTTAAATTACCGAAAGAATTTCGTTGCAATAAGTAGGAAGTATTTCTACTGTAATTAGCACCGTATGCAGTTGAATTTTCATAAGTTTTTATGGTCGGAAGAATCTTCAGTGTTGTGGTACTGGTGGTATTACTAGTAACAACATTACAAATTATGGCTTGTTTGGCATAGCGATCCATTCTAAGATTCAGGCTCATTGAACTGACGTTCTTAAATCTTGACAATGTGAAAAGAATGAGGCCAAATAGAATAAGTGCCATGACGAAATAGAAAATGCGACGAGATGTCAACTAGAAATAAAGTGACTCCATTTCAAAAACTTCTTTTGACATTCTATATGCAGACGTACATTTTGGGAGTGGGTCCGTGGCGCAAATATAAGATGCAGACTATGAATGTAAACGTGTTGTGTATGTGAATGGGCTTGGATGTTTCTGTGAATACTGATGTTGACGCATATGTGGGATGTGGGATGTAAATGTTACTCTTCTCTCCTGCATACTATATTCAAACGCACATCCACGTCTACCCACAAACTTACACATCACTGTGATGATATCCTTATTCGGCTTCTCTCCTTTGGTTTCTCTTCATATTATTCTTGTCTCTTTGGCATTATCTTTCCTATTTGAATATATCAGCGCATATTCTAAGTGTAAACAATGCAATTGACGGTGCGATGAAGTCTCATAAAGCGTTATTCTATCAGCACTGTAACTTTTCCTATCAAATACCAGCACAAGCAAACTCTTTGAGTTGCAGATTTTCATTATTATTCATTTTGAACTGTTTACATGTAATCTGAACGAATAATACTCAATTTGCAGATGCCTGGTTGCTTTCAGTTAGTGTTGGAGGTTAATCGAAATTTCAGATTGCACCTTGAAGTTTGAGCTGTTTGCTAAAAAGCATGAAATTCATTGAGTGCGATCTAGTAATGAGTGATAAATACAGCAAAGTAGTCCAGTGAGACGGCATATTTACATACAGATATCATATATAGAAGAGTAATATTTTGAAGAGAATGAAATAAATTTTCAGATAGAGAAGTAGTTTACCTGATATCGATAGTAGACATCAACAATTGAGTTCATACTTGTACAAACATGTCGCGTCCGGTAGAAACTGGTTAAATCTTTAAGATGGGTAATAATTCGATTCAGTAATTCGATCGATAATCTAAAATGATTTGAAATAATATTGGTCGGCATGGGCGAAAATTTTTAAGATGTTTGTTCTGTTGAAATGTATGTTTGTTTTAAGGTCTGTATGAAGGGATTTTTTTTTCGCTTTCGTGAGTTTCTTTTTGCTTTATGTCACAGGTTACTCGTTGCTTTGAAATTACCCGTTTAGAGAAAGAAATGCAAAGTAATAATACATAGTGAAAGTCTCGTCGCAGCAACTACCGTTGACTTTTTGATTGGCAGATCATAAAATACAAATATTAAGAATTTAAGAATTTTTTACATATACATATTATTGAAAGTGTAGTTTATTGTAAGATGACCAATTCAAGGCCATTCCCTAAAAAAAGTACGTTTCCATCAGAATGGTCGAAATTAAGATACATGCAAGGAAAAATAGTCCGTGATCTGATCTTTCAGAAACAACAAGATTTGTTTTATTCAGCATCTCCTTTTTTTGACATTTTTTCTATGACTTCGGTCATCATCTCCTTGAAAAATCAGCTGTTTTCAGAAAAACCAAAAAAAAATGGTTCCTCCATTTATTCTTTTTTGACCGTGCATCTCAGAATTTTCGAAGGATTTTCATTGCAGCCAATAGCTTTTTTTTGCTTAAAAGAGCATGTCAAAATCTGAAAGATGGCTCTTTTCAACATTAGAAAAAAATGCGACTTTTTTTCATAGAAATCGCTTGAAAAATCAGTCGAGAATTTTGACTAGAATATCTATGACGTCTGAATACCAAAATCTAAAATTCTAAGATTTCAATAGCTTTGTAGATCTTCCATTGTTGGTTCGGATACAGATCTGATAGTTGAATATTCATTATAGCCACCTCACTCGATACGTGGATTTTCGAAAAATTTGATGAAAAATCTAAAAACACTAAGTCGAAAAACTTGAGTCATCGTATTTATGTCTACCTACGATTATGTCTCCATCAGTTGATGACAGAAAGAGAAACAAGAAAAAGAATTATATTATTTTTTATGCATTTATGGCGTCTTGTCTTTCGCTTTATTCTTTTATTTTTGCATCTATCTCAATATGAAAAGAGTACATCAACAAATTACCATCAATCCTAAACAAAGCGATGAATAAACCAAACGATGCTCTCAAATCAATGAATAATTCTGATAAAAATAATGCAAAACAACCGCAAAACTATTATCCAACAAACAATCGTGGTGCCTCTAAATCGGTGACAAATGAGTAAATCGTCGAAATTAATTTTTAACTATATTAAATCTTTTTTTTAAAGTATCTGACTTATACACTATATATTGTATGGCAGTACATCAGTAATGATGAGAAAGAAATAGCTTTTTTGTCAATCTTTTATACATGCCGCTTACAAATATTTAACAGTAGGAAATAACAGATATTCTTGATTCATCTCTATTCTCTGTACAACTATCAAAAACCGTATACTTTTTTACAACATACATTGAATATATTTCTATTGGAATTATTCTTAAATGACGATCAGTAGTTTATTAAAAGTTATAATTCTAAATGTCGGTGTCGTTTTACCGTTTTCTAAAATACTCAAAAGGCATACATTGGAAAAAGTTTAATCAGAAAAAAGATGATATATATCTCTATTCTTGAAAATATTAAACAAAATCCACTAAATTCTGATTAGGCTTCATGTATTCTAAACTTGTGTGCGTCGGTGCGACAGAAGAAAAGACCCATACCCACAAATAAATATTCCTCATAAACGACAATTTTGTTATTATTTATACTTTTTGACTTGTGCTTAAACGAAATAAATTGATTACGTTGTTTGTTTGAAAAATAACTTTGACAGTTCATTCTTCCTTTTCTCGTACAGTGGTAAGACGTATCTGTTCTTACTGCTTCTGTTCTGTGCATATTACTCATTCTTTTTCTGGTCCTTTCTCGCTTGAGTCTAAGGCTAAGGCTTTTGATTCAGGTGGTCAATGACCTCTACTGGGGGAAACCTACTCAGTGGTACAATTCTACAGCAACCTGTTTATATGTCTGATGAAAACTCGTGTAGGCAAGGAGGAATAAATAATATTCTACCTGCTTTCAACAATGATACAATAAACGAACAACAGATTGTTTATTATACGGCTCCAGCAAACTGTCAACCGTTGAATACGGCACAATCTTACGTTTACGTACAACAAATGCCAAATAATCAATCTGTTAATCATCTCTCGCCAGCTCGTGTTATAATGCATCATGAAACTCAACAACAACGACAACAACAATTGTTTTCAAGCCATAACGTTACGCCTAACATGCATCCATCTATATTACATTCCAACACGAATCATCAACAAGCCGTTCTAACAACATGCCAACCATCGATTATGATGACGGAGATGCCTACATCATCATTGACTAATCCAACCATCTCCTCAACACCAATATCAACCAGTATCAAGAGAGGGCGCAACGACACTAGTGGAATATCGGAACCGTATACTCAAATACGACCACAATACCCACAAATTACTAACATGCAAGCTAACATGTCTGTCTCAGGGAATACCCCGATAAAACGTCTTCGCGGTATGAATCAACCTGTATTGATGTCAAGAGATAATCCGCAACAACCTACCACTGCTGCCTGTCGTTTTGCTACTACACGTTATCCATTCTCACCCTTCTCTGTTATTTTCTCGCATGAGGTTCGTGAAAAAACTGTTATCGA